TGTAGCACAACTTAAACACAATAGTGCAATGGTGTAAGACCTACAAACTTAACCTTAATATAGATAAATGTTGTGTACTTACTTATAGCCGATGCTCGTCACCATGCATATATCCTTACAATATTGCTGCCAGCACTTTAAGTCGTATTGAGAAGTACACGGATTTGGGGGTCCTGTTTGATGCAAGTCTTAATTTTAAAACACATATCAATAATGTGTGTTCGGAGGCCTTTAGGTCCTTAGGTTTTGCGATGCGTATGTCTAAATATTTCACAAGTGTCAGTTTATTAAAGACCTTGTATTGTGCTTAAATTCTGAGCAAGTTAGAATACACTTGCCTGATTTGGAGTCCCTTATATGCGTGTGAGTTCTTAAGCCTTGATCGAGTCCATCGTAGATTCTTAAAATTTCTTTCTTACAAATCTGATCGAATTTACCCTGAGCGAGGTATACCACAAAATGATTTGCGTGCGCGACACAATATGGTTTCCTTGACGGACAGAAGAAACGCGTTTTATGAAAAATTTCAACAAAAGTTTATCGAATATAACATCGATTGTCCTTTAATTCTTGAGCGAGTAGGGTTTGTTGTTCCAAGGAGCGCATAAACGCTAAAGTTGTCGGCCGTGTGAAATCGTCCGATTATGGAATTGGTCGCGCATGTAACGCTTGTTTCATCGGGCGATCAAGTTCAGTGCGCATTATCGACTTCAAATCGGACGGTTGGAATAGTAAAATATGGATTTCACCAAGGTAGCATGAATATGTACTCTTCTTTTAAAAAAGCGTCAAAAGAAACGCCGAAAAAAATTCTGGGTACATCCCCTATTAAGTGATAGATCAGTGAAAGGGCAATTTGTGCGGTCCTACGAAGATTTAAGAGCACACTCTCAAGTATTTTTTAACTACACCAGAATGTCAATCAACAGTTTCGATGTCCTACTTGAATTGATTTCACTCCACATAAAATATCAAAATGTTGTTCGTAACTGTATCTCAAGCACTAAAAGATTGTTAGTAACATTAAGGTAAGTAAAACAAAACACTAAGTAATAATGTTTTATTTATGTTGGCATTTACTTAAACTTAATATTGTAATTTGCTAAAGTTAATCCTAAATCAAACTCTTCTTCCATACTATTTGCCGAATCTTGGGATGTTACTGGAAGGATATCAGTGTGACCATCTCCCGATGACACATAGTTGGGTTTTTGGTGCCACTATAGGATACTGGTGTCTATCAATAACAAATTCGGTGTTGTCCGATGTCACACTGTATGGCGATTGGCTTGACCAGTTTGAGGCAGGTGATGACAGTCGTAGTTGTTGACAGTTTTCTTCTATTTCAGCAATTGTTTCCAAAAATTTCATTTTGACAGAAAATAACAGAAAATGTTTATCTTGATCCACTTCTTCATTCACCAGAATGTTTTCCTTCGGCCTGAACGAAGTCAAGAAGAAGATTCCAATTATTGTCGTCAAAATGAGCAGTGATATCCCTTCATACCATATGATGACCAACCATCAGTAGTTAAAGAAACTTTTGGACCGCATGTTTTAATAAATCTTGCCATTGAAAAAAGCCGCACACGCTTCAAATAAAATAAGTAGGTACGTAGTTATTAAAGAGGTTAAACTGGGATTTACCGTTGTATCAAGATAAGAAATATCAAGATTTTCAAGATTCTTGAATCAAAATAAGACAGAAGAAGCCTTGAAATTGTCGCTATTTCTTGACGTTTTTTCAGGACAAGAAGTTTACTTTAAGACAAGAAGTAAGTTTCTTGTTTTGTCGACTCCTAATCTTAAGAACGGCTAACCAGTATGTTTCTAGTTGTAGATCTAATGTTAGTTCTAGTGTTATTATTATTATTGCTGCCGGGCTGGGGGGAGCCGGCCCTCTCGTTACCGCGACCTGTAGGATCTATTGTAACTTTAGCCCTCCAAAAGATTAGAGCAAATGTAGGTCCTTGATGAACTTTAGTATTGCCCTGAGGTCTTGAACCTTTATGTCGGTAGGTATCAAGAGAGTTTTACCAAAAATTTTGTGTCTTAGACGGCCTCTGCAGACGCAATTGCACAGTATGTTAAGCAGTTTCTGACTCGTCGTTGCAAAGTCGACAAGTTTGATCCTCAGCTTGTCCAATGTGGAAGAGGCATTAAATACCCTTTGCTGAGGCATAAACCCTCTTTGGTTTTATAAGTACGAAGGCTTTCACGGCCGGTGTTAATTAAACTAAAACTAACACTAGACCTAGAAACTTTCGGGTGCGTTTTTTGAAAAATATATGTTGCAACCATTGAGGTCTTATATATAATCTAGAGTGCGTATGCTATTGTCCCCACCACGCCTAAAATGAAGCCAGAAAGGTCGCCATGTTAGATGTACCAACTTAACGGGAAATTCGAAAGTCTGATATATATGCAAGAATTTACATTATTATAAACTGGAAAGACAGAAAATAATAACCAAAACAAAACATTAATTTTTTATTGATAAATAATTATTAATTATATGCTATTTTAAAAGAACTTAATAATTTTTAGCCATAACCCTTATAATTAACATAAACTAAGAAGAAAATATTTAAAGCAATTCTGATTGATCGCGTTAACCTTTGCTTATAAATAATAGTTAGTTTATTTAAAAAAAACTGAACAGTCCTTAATAATAAACTTTACTTCAATTGAAGACCTCGGTGCAAGAAGGGAGTAGCTCAATTTATCAAGACAAGGAGTCGTCCCCTTCTTACACCGAGGTCTTTAATTGTTAATTCCAAGTCAAGTAACCAGAAACATTTTATGCACTGTTGTAAATAATCGTCCAACCTACCAAATTATAAAAAAACATATGTGAAACGAAAAGAATTTGAAAACTTTCTACAAAAATCAAATTTTAATAAAAATAACAATATGTTTATGAGAATTGTGAGGTTATAATTGTAGGTACAATAGAGACTTGAACCTATAGCTAAGTTCAGGTCAGTACATCCAACATGTCTGACTTTCTGATTACCCCACCATCACCACATACGCTCTCTAGATTATATATAAGACCTCAATGGTTGCAACCTTCTTCAGAAACAAGTTCGAAGTGACGAATTCGGTTAAAATTTGACAATACATGAAAAGGTAATTAATAACTAATTAGTATCTAATTACCAACTAAGTTGTTTTTGGCTAATCCGGGTGGAGAAGGCTTCGTTGAGCTCACTAGCATCTTCCATGTGCGGCTAAGTTCCCAACCATCTTCTCTATTCATGTTATTCCCATGTCGATGAATCTCTAGGTCTAGAAATTCCTGGAGTTGTTCTTTTCCATGTTGCTAGATCACGAAAGTCTCATCGACGTAACGGGCCCATAGCTTCGGTTTCCAAGGACTCTTCTTTAACGCTTCCTCTTCAAACATACCCATGTAAAAATTGGCTATCACAGGAGACGGAGGTGATCCCATGGCTACCCCTTCGCATTGCTCGTAGAATTCCCCCTTCCAGCTGAAATATGTCGACGATAGGCAGTACTCCACTAGTCCTGGGACATACTTGGGCAAACACTCCGGGATGAGTTTCTGGCGAAGTCCATCCACGGCATCTTTGACTGGTACTCTGGTGTATAGAGATTCCACGTCGAAACTTACCAGCATATCTTGAGGGTCTAACTTCATACTCCTAATTGATTCTACAAAATGTGTGGAATCTCTGACATATGACTCTGTTTTACCTGTAAAAGGAGACAGAATCTTGGAAAGGTGTTTTGCTAGCTGATAGGTGGGAGAATTTATGGAACTGACAACAGGGCGTAGTGGGACGTCTGATTTATGGATTTTGGGTAATCCATATATCCTTGGTGGTATTGGAGCCTGTACGAAGAAGCCTTTCTGTTGATCTGTTGGGATTTCTGTGGATTTTACCAGTTCTTTCATATTTCTTACTATCTCCTCGGTTGGGTCCTTTTTTATTTTCTTATAGGTGGCTCTTTGGTTTTGTTTTGCGACGGAGTTATCATACTCTTTGCTTGTCTGTGACCTGAAAGTTCTTTCCAGCGTAAGGCTATCTTTGAGACCTCCCAACTGTTGATTATTTGTTTTAGGTGGCTTTTTTGTAGTCCACAACCAGGTTGGGATCCAATGAAGGGCGTGTTCGCTGCCTCTCTGTCCAGCGTGTAAGCCTTCTCATTGCCCTCAATGTTGCTGTGACCTGGAATCCACCATAGGATAACATTATTGCCCCTAGCGAGTTCTCTCAGGTTGCTGGCATACTCTCTGATCAGTACGGAGTCACATTCAGATCAGTCGGACTGTCTGGGAAAATATTTATGGATGAACCTTTCTGTCCCTTCTGTAGGTTCAAAGCGGTGCAGAAGTTTATAGCAAGAACTTCTGCTTGGAAAATTGTTATGTCCGAGCTAAGAGGCAGTTAACTGTCTTTGAAGCATCGGTGTACCAGGCTAGGGCTCCTCTTTTTAGTTGAGACCCACCCATCGCCCAATCATCCCTGCTTCTAAATATAACCTTATACGGCTGGTTGAAATTGTATTCTGTCGCTATAACGCCCGTTTTAATTTCAATCAGGTGATTTAGACATGGTTCCTTGAGGATTTAGAGGTGTCCTCTGAGGTTCCCCTGCATCAACTTGAGTGAAGAAACTGTTTTCAGTGATAAGGCACTTGAAGCTGCCTCCTTTTGTATATATATAAATGGTGTGGTGTGAGACCGAGAGTGCTAGTGTTAGCTCTAATGCCATTGTTATTCGGCACTAACTAATATAGGTGCATTAAAATTATTAATTCAAACAGTTTAAAGTGTAAATTAAAAATTTTTCATAAAACGGACGGAGTTTTACTGTATTTAATTTTTCTTCGTATTTAACCTGCCCATCACGTACGTGGTGTATCTATCCTAATTGGCCTTAACAAATAAATTAGACTGATGATGTCGAGAAGTTACGCCGTTAAAAAGAAGGATCAGTTAAATTTAAGCAGCTCTAAAACGCGGTCCTTGAAAAATTCGGCATCTTTCCTTCGTTAATCGAAAGATTGACGGGCACAAGATTTCAATTATCACCTTTAAACAACGTTATTTAGCGGTATTTACTTTGTTGTCGTCGATTTATTCGCGAATATGAAATGAATTTTCTAAAGAGTAGTATCACTTTATAGTAGAGTAGTGAGAGAGTCGTGTCATATTTCAGTGAATTTAAATTATTCAATTATAATTATGATTAATTCAAGTCTGAATATCAATAATAACAACACGTTACAATTTGGAAATGGAAAAAGGTAAGTTTGTGTTTTTTGATTCGATTAAAACTAAATATAGCTATAAATATATTCTTCCAACTAAAAATAGCACATAAAGGTACTTTATAAGGTCATATTAATAACAATAATTCCCCCCTTGGTGTCTATATTCGTAAATTGTCTTGTTAAATTCGATTTAAAATGATTTACTTACCGCCATAAACTGCTCGAGTCAAATGTTGTTTGTAAACTTTTTCTACGCCGAATAAAAATTGCAAATTCACAGTTTTAAAATGTTTATCTCAAATATAAAGAATTATATTTAATTTTAGTTTTAATATGATTTGTTTGTTGAAATAAATTTAAACTGTAATGAATAAGTAAAGTATTTGACCTAAAATTGTTTGAATGACAAATTAGCGCTATTAATGGAAATTATGAGCTATTTAAGTTATACCTTTTATCTAGATATTTTCAGATTGACTTATAATTTTTTATGAGTCAACGATAAAGTCGATTTTATTGTTAATAAATAATTTAAATATGTTACTATTTTGTATAATGACGTGTAGATGGCGCTAGAGGGGTTATTTTTGAATTTGATGATAATCTTAAAATTAAACGTTCTCATTTCAATTTTGTTGATTTTAGAATTGATTCAAATAGTAAACGTAAAGAAGAGATAACATTAGAAGCAACTGATCAAGTGATATTTGAAAATAGCCGTTTTTTAAGTACATTGGTGGTCGGTAAAAAGTAGGTACCTGTAAATGGGTGATATAAAATAAAAAGTTTATATTTAAAGAGTGTATTTATAAACGAATCGTGCTCCTTTAGGAAGCCTCAAAGCGATGTGGTTCCGTGTGGATCTCCGGGAATATTCCGTCAAAAGTCCGGGACGTGTGATTTGTCCTTCAGTAGTTGCGCTCGCGCAGCACGGACTTCGCTCGGTAATATCGGGAACGTCCTATCGCGAAAAATGGCGGCCTCTACATCGCAGGCGAACGTTTCCTGGTCGAATACCAAAGACGATTACGAATTGGGAAAAGTAATCGGTAAGTAAAATTATTATTTAAACGCCTTAACATTTACTTTTAACTTTTAATCTATTAATTTTTATTAACCAATTCGTTAAAAGCCTTTTATTAACCGGCCCAATGATTTTCTAGGTTATGTTCTTATTTGGTCAACGTAAAATTCTTATCGGTGTATCGCCCCTTTTTATCTTTTGACGTTTACGACGCGATAAATTTAATAAGTTACAACAGTTTTTTATTTGTACTTAATCATTCTATAAATTAATCAATCTTTTTTCGCAACACTTTTATAAAGTGAATTGTGGTTAATTGATTTGATTGATTGAAAATCATGTGATTTCTATCAATTTAAAGGTGTTGGAGCCACCGCGGTCGTACACGAGGCACTATGCAAACCAAGAAACGAAAAATGTGCCATCAAACGTATCAATTTGGAAAAATGGAATACTTCCATGGACGAACTTTTAAAAGAAATCCAAGCTATGTCTAGTTGCAATCATGAGAACGTCGTAACTTATCATACTAGTTTTGTTGTAAAAGAAGAATTGTGGCTTGTTTTGAGATTATTAGAAGGTAAAAATAATCAAAAAGTTGTTTAAAGTGGTGTAATTTGATAATAATTTTAAATAGGTGGAAGCCTTTTGGATATAATAAAGCACAAAACGCGCAAAACCAATTGTAAAAATGGTGTTTTTGATGAACCCACGATAGCCACTGTGCTTAGGGAGGTTTTGAAAGGATTGGAATATTTCCATAACAATGGACAAATCCACAGAGATATAAAAGCGGGGAATATTTTGCTTGGAAATGATGGTACAGTTCAAATTGCCGATTTTGGAGTTTCTGCTTGGTTGGCAACAGGACGAGATCTTTCCCGACAAAAAGTTAGACACACTTTTGTGGGAACCCCCTGTTGGATGGCACCGGAAGTCATGGAACAAGTATGGTATAGATGATTTTTTAGAGATTAGATTTGATTAATTATTAAATTTAGAAATTAAATTAAATATAAAACTTTTTTTTTCACTTTAATAAATTAATTTTAAATTTAGGACCATGGCTATGATTTCAAAGCAGATATTTGGTCATTTGGTATAACAGCAATCGAAATGGCAACTGGAACAGCGCCTTATCATAAATATCCACCTATGAAAGTGTTAATGTTGACATTACAAAATGATCCACCTAACTTGGATACAGGAGCTGAAGAAAAAGATCAATATAAAGTAAACAATTTAATTCATCCTTTAAAAATATCAATTAAATGATCATTTTTTAACAGGCTTATGGTAAAACTTTTCGAAAAATGATCGTTGATTGTCTTCAAAAAGAGCCTAGTAAGCGACCATCTGCTTCGGAACTTTTAAAACATCCATTTTTCAAAAAAGCAAAAGATAAAAAATATCTTCAATCGACATTGGTTGCTAATGGACCCAGTTTAGAAACTCGAGTTCAAAAAGTAAATTATTGCATTTAAATTGTGAGCGTTTTTTTAAAGTAATATTTTTTGCAGGCTTCAAAGAGACAACCAGGAGCTTCTGGACGTCTTCACAGAAAAGAAACTGGCGAATGGGTCTGGTCGAGTGAAGATGAAGGAGATGAGGGGGCTTCTAGTGATACGGACACTGAACCAAAACCCCTAAATATTGTGAACCAACAGTCGGATTCTGAACATGAAGAAAGTAGTGAAGGGGAGGTTCCACCAGTTAATCTTGTTTTGAGAATGAGGTAAAAAAAATTGCGTAAAAACTTTATTTTCCTTTTTTTTTTTCTTTTTAATTAAGTATAAAAAGAGAATTCCCTTAAAACATTTCTTTTTCTTTAAGATATCTGTTTTGTTACTTATTAATCTATGTCTATGCTGGGAAGTTGAGCTCCAGGTTTCATACTATTGTATAGGAGGTCTTCTGGTGGGTATATTTGCTCTTGGAAGACTTTCTTTGATCATCCTTGGTAACCTTTAACATGATCCTGGATGTCACATTGTATGTCTTTGATATCCTCACTTCTTTTTTGGTCCCACAAGGTATATTCTGATCTGTTAATAAAGACTTGTTAATGACCTTAACAACTCATTAACAGGATATTCATTCTTTAGACGGGTGAGCAGTACTTGGTAGCACTGTAAACAAGTCCTAGGGTTGCAGCTGTTGATCTCTACGTCGTGCGACATAAGGTCTGAACGATATTGTTTCTTGTGGATACTTTAGCTGTTCTGTAGGTTCTGTCCAAGGTCACACCAAGGTACTTTGGAGTTGGATTGTGCGCCACAAGATGACTAGCTGACGTGTGGTCGCTTTGTTATTGAGGTGTCAATCTTCATTTTCTACAATACTCCTCCATCACATTCAGTTTCTGCACAGAATTCCTTCCCTCTCCTCCATGGTGTTATGGTTCACAGCCAGGATCAAATCATCTGCGTGTGCGAATTTTGCTGTACTAGTATCTGGCATGTCCGCAATGTAGAGATGAAAAAAATTCAGCAGTAAGCCCAGTGTGTTACAAGAAATTACACTTAGCGTACGTTTACGTTTGAGCTGCGATAAACGATAATAGCGACAATAATAGCAAAACCAAAGAAAATGTTGTCATTATTTGTCACACGATTGACAACCGAGTAATGCTAATAGACAACCTAAGCCTTGACGTCATAGAGATGGGCGGAGCTTATACCGACTCCAAACATTTTCGTTGCTAACGGTAAATCACCATATCGTCGGCTTAGTAAGAAAACCACGTAAGTCCGTTTCGGGAAATTTTACATTAAATAATTTCAGGCACTTTAGATGGAGTTACGCGTTTTTCTGTTTAATTTTTCTAAAAAAAGTGGAGTTACGCGAATTTCATTCATACTTTTAATAAGTTTTTTAAGCAAAATTTTATAATTTATCTCCAACAACAATATGTTAAATTGAAAAAAACTTATTTTATTTTTTCATTGAGGCCGTGTCAGAACTGTGGAATAATGGCTTCATTATTCAACTTGTCAGTCATGCGAGTAATGCGTGTCATTACCCGTCAAAAATCAAATGTATAACGAATAGATAATTCAATAGTTAAACTAATTGATGACATTTCAAATGACATTTTTTGGCAATTTATCGTTAGCAACTGTGGTTAGCAACGAAATTGTTTGGAGTCAGTATAAGCTCCGCCCATCTCTGTGACGTCAGACTTAGGCAGTCTATTGCAGTGTTTTTCAACCTTTTTCATGACACGACCCCCTAGTATCAAAAAATATTTCGCGACCCCCTGACCCTTTTTTTCATGTATGTTAAAAATATTTAATCCATACAAAAATTTTAAGCGTTTGTGTTATTAGGATTCGGGTATAAATATATAATTAAGTACGTATAAAATTTAATTTTAAATCGAATACGTGGCCAATTGATAACTAACAAACAAATAGAATTGTTTGTATTTGTTAGGGCCGAAACTTCCAGCGCCATCTGATGGCGTTGATATTCCCCGCGCGAAAGGTTCACAAGTTTCGAGATGTTTCGTTACGCTTCGCAATGATTCTCGCTAGAATGCGCTGTCCTATAACCCTATAAATCAGGTCGACCGCGGCCACGGCAGTTGAGTGCAAGTAGTATTTATTTGAGTTGTTTGCTATAATTGAAAATGGATAAATTCCTAAAAAGACCATCAACGTCTAGCGGGAGTAGTGAAATAAAGAAAAACCGTCTTTATGACGACAATTATTTGAAATTTGGGTTTACTGTGATTGAGAATAAACCGCAGTGCGTAATTTGTTTTGAAATTTTGTCAAGAGAAAGCATGAAACCGTCGGAGTTGGTACGCCACCTAAACACAAAACATCCTAATGAAAAACTAAACCCGTGGATTTTTTTGAGCGAAAACTAAAAGCTCTTGAACATCAAAAAACTGCTATAGGACAAATGTCCAACCTAAATGAGAAAGCGTTGCTCGCTAGTTATCGAGTAGCTTTTCGTGTGGCTAAAGCAGGAAAACCTCACAGTATTGCCGAAAATTTGAGTTTACCAGCGGCTTTAGATATAGCAGAGATTATGTTTGGCAAACAAGAGGTCGAAAAGCTCAAAAGTATATCTTTCTCTGACAATACCATTCAACGCAGGATAAGCAATATGGCGACTGACGTTCGTGATCAAGTCATAGAAAAAATAAAGAAAAGTTCTTTTATGTCCTTGCAATTTGATGAATCAACGGATATTGCGGGTTGTGCGCAGTTTGTAGCTTTTGTGCGTTTTGAATCCAATGAAATATTAATGGAAGAAATACTATTTTGCAAGGCACTTCCCAAAAATGCTACAGGTCAGTTCTTGCAAGACATGTTCGTTGAAGCTATGCAAGATATGAATATCGATTGGGCACAAAAATGCATTGCTATTTGTAGTGACGGAGCAAAAGCCATGACTGGTGCGAAGAGTGGATTTATTGCTAGACTGAAAGAACAAATGCCAAACGCTTGTTGGATGCACTGCTTTCTCCATCGCCAAGCTCTTGCAGCCAAAACCTTGCCACAAGAATACAGTCAAGTTCTAAATATTATTATTAACATTGTAAATTCTATCAAAGGAAAAGCGTTGCAGACTCGATTGTTTCGAATCATTTGTGAAGATATGGGGGCACTACACCGCAATTTGCTTTACCACACAGAGGTTAGGTGGTTATCAAAAGGCAAAGTACTGACCAGAGTTGTNAAATGGTAAATTAACAAAAATAATTAACGCAAAATAAAATTAATTTCTTCAATTAGAACGAGATCTTTTAAGATTATGGATAACGAAATTACACGAAGTCGAAGAAACCGTCGAAAATTTACGAAGAAGAAACGAATACATGTGGTTTTTACTGTTAATGCTGCAAAGTAAACAGCTTCAGATGCCTTTTATTTCAGCCCCACCAGTAGGAGATTTGAGAGATCTTAGAGATCTTTTGGTAACAAAATTGATATTTTTGAATAAATATTTTAAACTATTAATTTAGGCAACGGATGTTTATGAGGATGTGTTAACATCAACTGATTTGTCTTGGTTGGATACGATTCCTTTGACAAGTAAAGAACCTACGGGTCCAACAAAAACATATCCAAGAGCACCTCCAGCTGAATTTATGAAAAATCAACCAATTCCTTTTAATGGGATGATTTGTTATCTTGCAGCTTTTAGCGATCACGACTTTTAAATGATATTATGATTCCAAAATCAACATTTTGTAAATAAATTATTTTAGTAAAACACATTTTGTTAGATACATTTGAAATTTTTGGGATTTTGAAGCCTCTAGGTTGGTAATAATCATAAGGGTGCGTTTACGTTGGAGCTGCGATAAACGATAATAGCGACAATACTAGCAAAACAACGAAATTGCAACGTTCTTTGCTATTATCAGGTATGGTCAGCAATAATAGGAAATTTATACAGAAAAATGTATAATTCTATATCTCCAATAGTAATAGTATTTAAATTGGATTGCGACAAAGATACGATTTAAATAGATTACGAATATTTTCAGCAGATTTTTTTGGTCTTCCAGCATTACTTGGTGTGAGTATAACTTGGCTATCTGTAAAGCCAAAAGAAAAACCTGGCGTAGCTTCTGTGAAGGCATAGACAATACGCCTACAGTTGCTCGCCTGCATAAGATCTTGGCGAAAGACTATAACACTAATCTATTCCACCTATGCAAACAAGACGGAAAATACACCGAGGATGCTAAGGAATCACTGGAGCTCTTACTGAGCAAACACTTCCCGTCCTCAAAAGTCTGCCCCAATGCGGATGCCGACCCTGAAGTAATGGATATAACCCGTAAGGGTGGTAGATGTTCAAATGCCGACCCCAAGGCATACAGACCAATTAGCGTAACTTCATTTCTCCTGAAAGGGATGGAAAAGGTAATTGATCAATACCTAGGGAATAGAGTGCCACTAATCCACTCCATCCGAGCCAACATGCTTACCAGAAAGCAAAAGCAACAATTACTGCTCTCCATGCTTTGACTAGCACTTTAGAGGAGACAATTACAACCAAAGACATAGCCCTATGTGCTTTCATAGACATAGAGGGTGCTTTTGATAATACCTTCTACGAATCCATAGAGAATGCTCTAAACGTAAAAAATTGTTGAAAAGTCGGCATATCACAGCCAGTCTGGGAGGCGAGTCGTTGACTATTAAGGCGCTAAGAGGATTATGTAGCAAACAGATACACTTCACAATATCATCAGCTACATCTGTAGATGTTTGTATCATTCTAAAATTCTCCACTTAGTATACAGTGTTCCAAAAGCATATTCAACAATTCTTCGTGCTCTTGATAATCTAGCATTAAAGTATTCTTTATCTGCATCAATTTATTGTCTTCTATAAGGTTTCAATAGATTAGGGAGAAGTGGATAGGCTTCATCACCTATGCCAACATGGGGTACAGTGATGTATATTCCATGAATTTTGCAGGCTGTTGCCTTAAGTGTTTATAAAGGTGATGAAATTCTGCAAACATATACCTTTTGGTATTTATAGGGTGTGTATTGAATGTGCGCTTTTTATTTGCAATTTCAACAATACAGGGTCATTTTGACATATGATAGCTAATCCAATTACCAAAAAAAAATGTTAATGAACATCTTTCAATTATTTACAAAATTATAACACTTTAAAGTTTTAATATTTATATCATAATTAACTGCAACATATATATATTATTATTATTATTATAATTAAAATATCTGGTTGATTTCTTACTTCACTAGCAGCCATTTGTATTTTGTTTAATAATAATTATTAATCACGAAATTAACACACGAGAACAATTATTGTTCTCGTGTGTTAATTTCTACTTGATACACAATTTGTTTCATTTGACCCTATAAGTAAAAATCCAATGGATTAAGGTCGGGGGATCTAGGTGGTCAAGCAAATGGACCATTATTACCAATCCACTTGTTTGGGAAATATTGGTTTAACCACTCGACAACTACTCTTCCGCGATGAGGTGGGACACCATCGTGCTGGTACCACATATTTTGAATTACATTAAGAGGTTCAAGTAAATCAAAAAGTGTATTGTTCAAAAAAAGTCTGTAATTTACAACGTTCAAACGACCATCAAGTATATGCAAACCTAGTAAATTGTTGTTAAATATTCCACCCCAAACGTTGATGCTGAAACGTTGTTGAAATTTCATTGGTCTAATCGCATGCTCATTTTGTAATACCCAGATATGTTCATTATTGTAATTATTTATACCATTTCGTGTAAAACATGATTCATCTGTCCAGAGAACATTTGAAATGAAGTCATTATTTTGGGCATGTTGCTGCAGTAACCATTCACAAAATGCTAACAGTTGCTGATTATTTCCTGGCTGTAGAGCTTAAACATTCTCTTTACGATACGGATGAAGGACTCTGCGGTTCAATACGCGCCATGCAAAATTTTGACATAGGGTAAACGCACCAGTGTTTGACCTGTTAAAGATTTTTTAATGTCAGTGTTTGACCGAGCCATATTATTTTTCTTGTAGATCCCTCTGCCTTTGCATATAATGGTCATAATATGATCAAATACACATCTGATTCATTTAAGGTTACTTACCCTACATATAAAATATAACATCATGAAGTAATATTTTTTAAAAATTAAAAAGGAAAACAATATTTCGCATTTAGTGTTTGACCACTTTGATTACATTACTTGACCAATAATATTTAGTCTTTTTAAACTTAGGCTTCGTTGTCATATTGGTACTGAAAAAATGTTAACCTGATTCATATTTGCTAAATTTTCCATATAGATTTTCCATTTTTTGATAATTGACCAC